CCTGGCTCCCCATCTCTGTGTCTCTGTCCCTGTCCAGTGTTCCGGTCTCTGTCCCTGTCCAGTGTTCCTGGCTCCCCGTCTCTGTGACCCTGTCCCTGTCCCTTGCCTCTATTTCTCTGGGTTTTTTGCTCTGTGTCTCCGTCTATGCCTGTGGCCATCCTGTGACCCTCTCTGGGTCTTGGTGTCCCTCTTTCTGTGGTGTCTGTCTCATCAGTGTTCCTTGGCCTCTCGCCGGAGGTCCCATACATTCCTGTTTCGGTCTCCCTGACTCTCTCCCTCTTCTCGCCTCTATTTGTCTCTGTGGCTCTCTCTCGGTCGCTCTCCATCGGGCTGTGACTCTGGGCCTCCGTGTCTCCGTCCCTCTGTGTCTTTCTCTTGGAGGGTCAGTCTCTGTCTCCCGCACCCCTCAGCCCTCCTTCTCCCCGTGCCTCTGTGTCTGCGAACCTCCCTGTGCTCGCCTCTTCCTCCTCCTCCGTGCCCGGCCCTCTCTCTGACCCACTCCCTGGCTCTGCCAGCGTCTCCCGCGGTCGCTGGGGGTCTCTCTGGATGTTTGAGCTCAGTGTCTCTCACCCCCACCCCGCCCCCCATCTTTATCCCTTTCTCACCCTTCTGGCTAGGAACCTCTCTCTCCGCGCCTGGGGGTCTCCCCGTCCCTCCACGCCCCTCTCTGGCCCTGGAAAACCCTGTGCATCCCCGTGCCTCCGAACGTCGGCCTTGCCGGGCTCCGGTCTCCGCTCTGTCTCTCCGCCCGCGTCCCCACCCCTCTCCAGTAGCGCCCCGGCCCTCCCCCAACTCCCGAGCGCGTCCGGTTCCCGGCTCCCGGAGACCCGCTCTGTTGCCAAGGGCAACCACGGCCCGCCCCGCGCTGCGAAGTGCGATGCACCCTGGGATTTGGAGTCTGAGCCTGAGGACCACCTGTTGTGGCGACGCGGCCGAGAACTTCCTCTCCCGGCGTGCCCCGCGAGGCAGAGGAGGGGCGCCGCGGCGGCGCCTGGGGACCCGGCCCCCCGCACCTTCTTCGGGAATTTTGGGGGTCCGGGGAGGCTTCCCGAAGCCGAAGGGGAGGTGAGGGAATCCGACTCTTCTCCAAACCCCTCAGAAGTGGGGTGCTCTTGCCTCCCAGCCACCTCCAGGCGTCCGGCCTGCCCAAGGGCAAGGATATGGGGTCGGGGTGGCCCTGGAAACTGACCTAGGATCGATCCCACCTTGCCCTGCTTGGCTGCTTTTCCCGCATCACCAACATATCACCCCCGAGCTCTAGAGCTGTTCTCTCTGGTCCCTTCCAGAGGGGGTTCAGCGGGAGATGGGGGGAGGGGAGGGGGGCGAGACGCCCTTGGAGGAGGCAAGCATTGGTGTGGGTCGGAATTCCGGGGTGGGCACTGCAGAGATCAAACGGAGGCTTCTCCTGGAGAAGGAGTTTATCTATTCCCGTTAGCCCTTCCTTCTCTTCCGGGGGGGCCTCCTCCCTCCCTCGACATATCGCTTGCCATTGCTTTTGCGGGTGTTAAGTGCAGAAAATGGGTTTCATGATCCTGGGATTTTTGCGGGTTTGTTTATGTATTTGTGATTCTCCTCAGGCAACAGGACCTTCTCTGGGACATATTCATTGTAGGCGTAATTCGTTTGCTCTTTATCAAGGTCTTCTATGGACAGGTTGTGTCAGGGAGCTTGGAACTGGGGGTAAGATGGAGCGGAGGGTGGGCATGTAGGCAGCGTCAGATCCTGAAGGCCCCTGGTATCACCTGTAGGCAGATATGGATTTGAGCAGGGGAGGGCAGTGTCAGAGGTTAGAAGCATCCCCCTGGGGCCAGGGTGGGCAAGAGGTGGACTAGTCAAGGAGGAGGCTGGGGTACTAGCTCAGAACAAACAAAATGATACCTGAGCTGGGTCAGGAGCCTGGACAGACAGTGTCTGGTGAGCGACTGACAGAGCCGATGGGAAGAACCAGAGCCTGGGTTTGCAGGCTCGGGAGCCTATTACTGAGATGGGGAATCCAAGGAGTTGATTTTGGGAAGAAACGTTGCACTCAGATGGGGACACTGTATTTCTGAAATGCTCATTGGATTCCAAGGAGGGACAAATCTTATCCATTTCAATCCTAACTAGTTATCCTGGCTTGAGAGAGTAAATTTGGGAGATCCAAAGGCCAAAGTTTTCTTGGCCCCAGGCTCCCTCTTCCACCAGACCCAAGAATCTGGACCTTGCCCTCTCTCCTGGAGCCCTCCTCCCCAGCAATAAAGCAAGCACAGTTTTTCTTTTATCTTTATAGTGATGTAAAAAAAAAACAAAACCATTATGGATGTGGGAGTGAGGAAACGGACAAGTCTTCCCTCTGTGGTTGACAGCGGGGACTGATGGGAATCAGAAGCTCCAGGGAATTAAAAAAAAAATAAAATATATATTTATACATTTATATATATGACGTTACGCGTGTGAGTCCCGGAGAAGCAGGAAGCAGCTACAAGAAGCAACGAGCATGCAGAAACACACGTGTGTGTGTGTGTGTGTGTGTGTGTACCACACTCAAGCAATGCAATTCAATTCCTCTGACTATGGCAACAGCAATCCCCACCTACCCAACCCAACCACCCCCCAGAAAAAGACGTTGAAAAGAAATTTCCCTTTTAGAAGAGGGCCACCCAGTACATTTTGCCCTCGTGACCAGGAAAAGGAAAAAAAAAACAAAGAAACAGAAAACAACCAAACAAACCCAGGCTCACATTGCCTTTAAGGCTGGCAGTGGCCAACCTCTTCTCCCAGCAAAGGCAGTCCATGCTGTTTTTAACAGAGGCGGGAGGGCCACATCCCTGCCCCTATAAATACTTCAGACAGTTGTCCTTAAGACCATGCAGTTCTTTGCTAGCCACTTTTTCGATAACCCAGACAGCACTTGGGATGGAAAGCATTCACCCTTTACTTCCTTTAAGATGACCTCCAGGCAGTGGAATTTTAGTAAGCCTGGCAAAAATTCTGGTCAGTAAGCCTGGCAAAAGTTCTGGAGCCAATCTCACGTGAGGCTGGGGGCCGGGCAGGGCCCGGGGACCCAAGGCCTGTGCTTTAAGCCTCATGCCCATTGGAGATCACTGGCCTCCAGAGATTAAAGGGGACATGTGCTGTACACCGCCCTCCACTGGGAGAAAGGGAGCCCCATCCCTAGCTACCCACCCCCACCCCCACAAACACACATGTACACACCAACTAAGGCACAGCTAGGGCAGGCAGGCATGCTTTGGCAATGAGGCCCCTCGGGAGGCCCAGGGTATGAACAGCTGCAAAGAGGGGGGTGGGACGTGGAGCTCAGCACCTTTGGAGGTGGGGGGACAGTGGAGTGGTGGCAGAGAAGAAAGAAGTCTCAGAGCTCCCAAGGAAATCGGAAGAAAGAAACCGGGACAGAGATGGCCAGGACACAGGCAGATGAGAAAACAAACAAGAGGACCAGAATAGAGCCGAGAAACAAACAGGTAGGAAAGAAGAGGTGAAAACAGAAAGAGGCAAACAGGCAAAACAGGATGTGGGCAACCCAACAAAACAGGAAGGAAAGGCGAGAGCAACAGGAGAGAGGAGGCAGGAGCTAAAGGAACGGAGACGAGCAGGATGAATCGGGGAGGAAATGAGAAAGGTAGGAGAGAGGGAGCCAGGAAGAGGAAATTAGGGCGTGGGAAAGAAACCTCTGCGGACAAGAGGGAATTGAGAGCTCCCGTCGTCACCGTCGTCGGAGCCTCAGACCCTAACGAAAACCAGGCGGGCCG